GGCTGGGTGGGGAATTCTGGGAGTTGGAGTCCACACATCTTAAAGTCGCCAAGGTTGAGAAACACTGATTTAGGGTATTGTAAATGGGCAGCCACTGGTTAATTATTGTATTATTGTCGACACTTGTTCTGTATTTTATTTCCAACAAGACCTTGTGAGAGTTGCTAGGTGTCGCTTGGTTGACTCAAGAGAAGAGCCACACGCACTGTTCTTTACCAGACCGCAAAATGTCTTGGATCTGGGGATAATATTCTTTGCTTTGTTTTTCAGGATGCTTTCAATTCATTGGTGGCAGCACTGTTTCTCCTCATTGTGGGCCTGTGTGCAACATTAATAAAGACCATCAAGGAAACATTGATTGGAGGTGTAAGTAAGAGCATCTGTACTAGCAGTATGGTGTGAAACTAAATAAGGTCCATCCTGGAAGGTCTCTGTGGGCCAGGATTGGAGCGCAGATTTTTGCCCTTACTGTAGGTGCTGCATCCCCACAACACAAAGTATATTTGAGAACGCTGCTGAGCAGGAGGTTCATTTCACACATGCCCTGATAATCCCAGGATCTTGGACTCTCAACTAGGCATCTTTTCCAGCTAATGCATTTTGTTAAAGGGAGTATGTTTTCATGCAGTTTATGCCTTTTATTAAATATGTTAGTCAGAAAAGGCACTACCAAACTCCTCCTGATTTTTTGCTGCCATAAATTAACATGGCTCCCTTCCTACAGTAACAACTTACCAGGATCTCCCCCACCTACCGCAGTTTTACTTAATTCACATTTCATATTTGAAAGAGAATGCTGTACACTTCTAGGCCATTAGCAAGCACCACTTCTCAAATCTGCCAAGAACTTCCTGCATTTACTTGAAAGGAAAATTAGGGAGTTTTTTCAATTTATCTTTAAAATGGGAGGCTTGTTTTACATTCACTGAGAACACAATAAAGGAAGCAAATTTTTGTGGGAAGGAGATAACAACAAATGTAAAGTTATCTCCCTTTCAGATAAATGTTGTGTGAACATTTTCCTTTGCCCTCCAGAGTTTTTCATTTTGCATTGTCCGTGCATACTGTAGACCAGTGCTGGCTTGGGAATTCTGGGAGTTGAAGTCCACACATCTTCAAGTTGCCAAGGTTGAGAAACACTGCTATAGACTATTGAGAACTTCTTAGTAGGATTTAGCTGGTGTAGTCAAGTGAAGTGAAAGCAGATGCTATAGATGGAGGGGAAAGAGCAGGGATGGGGGATGGTGAGAAATGAGAATTACTTTTCTAGAATGTGAGGTGGGAACTTTTCTTTTTCCTTACATATAGAAGAGTCACAAAAATACATTCTGATCTATAGGAGTTGCTATAAACTAGCCTTTAGATGTTAATTGTGATTCAGTAGTTTTCTTTTTGCATGGAATCTGAACCCCATTCTTTTTTTCCTTTTTTGCAGGTATTCTGCTTGCTGATTTGCATTCTTTGTATAGCAGATGCTACTTTAATCCTGAGAAAAGTTACTTTTAATAGGTCATAGTAGGAAGGGATGGTATCCAAAGATAAACTGGCCAATCAAACCAAAGAAATTACATAAAACAGACATCCCTAATGTAGCTTCATCCAGTTATGCTGGACTACAGCTCCCATCATTCACAACCAATGCCTAAAATACTTTATTGTGTGCAGATGGGACAAAATGCCAGGAGGTCATCAGGTTGGGAAAAGCTGTTATAATCTATTTTTAAAAGCCTGGTTTGCTACAGGCTGCTTGTCACATTTTCTTTGTGTTTTCTAAAAGCTTTAGACTCCAGTTGAGCCAGTCAAGCTTTATTAAATTCTCTTCTATTTCAAAAGGCAAAATTAACCACATGTTTAACCCTGCTATCAAATTACATGTGATTTAAAATGCTTTAAGTGGATTGTGCCTTTAATTTAACTGTATCTATCAAATCAAATTCTTATTACAGTCAAAGGCCAGCATAAACTGTATCTAGGAATTTGAATATTATGTACTTTATCAAGTTAGTTCATTTATTTAGCAGCATGAGCAACTGTTGATAAAAAATGTCTTACGTTTCATAATAGCTCTTTTCACCAATGTAACATTACAAATGATTATAGGGTATATCTTCTTGAATTGGTTTGTATTCAGTCTTAATGTTTTTAATTAAAAAGATTTACCTGCAATAATATTAGAGCCCCAAGTGTTTATTGTTTGCATTCTCCCCACTCAGAACATTTTTTAAAACTTTAATCTTTTAACAAAATGCCATCTTAAAGAGCCACCATCATTGACTATACTGCTTGTAATAGCAGAGTAGCTGGGTTCACCCAATGTGCTGGGCTAATATGGGGGTGGTTCAGTGAACCCGCTCCTTGTAATTCATCATTCACCCTCTGGTCATTAATCAGCATGTAGTGCAAACACAGACACACCCAGCACTTGGCAAATCCCTCTTAGCAGAGCACTCAAGAAGATTAAGTGTAATATCAGACACTTTTAGACTATTATCTGACAGTGCAGAGTGGAGATATAGAAGTATATCTATATGTTCCAGACATGTTATGCTTCCACATCTTAATCATTTTAGGTATTAGTTAAAAACACAAATATAATGACATAGTTCATTATGTTATTCTACCTCTTAATAAAATTAATCAAGTTCATTGACTATATTCCTTGCGGCAAAAACCACACAATATTGTTTTGGTTCCTAATTCAAAACTTTTGGTAGCTCGTGTTGTAGAAAAGCATATACCCCATTCTTGGCGATCGTACTGCAATTAGGTTTGCAGGAGAAAAAAATCATATTTCAGGCATGAAGTTCAACTGTTGGGTATGCCAAACAAACAAGCTTCAGACTTAAGGGACTTGCTTCTCCTTTCCTTCCTCCACCACAATGAGAGGATCTGAAGCTTTTTGTTTAAAGAGTGCATGGCTTTTTATGTGCACCAGGATAAATTAAAGCATGGTTTGTCCAAATAAGAACAATCTATAGTTTCTGATCCTGACTTAAGATAAACCAGGGATGAGGAATCATCGGCCTACAGGCTATATGCAAGCCACCAAGCCTTCATTTGGTGTAAATTCTTCCAGTGGACCAGTGTTCTCTCTTCCACTACGCTAGGCCACATACCATTATTCCCCAACCTGGTGCCCTCTTAGAAATTAAAAAACCGGAAAAAAATTATTTCAAGATTTTTCTGTTTTTTTTAAATGAAAACACTGAACTATTTAGAGAGCAAACCCCTTTTCAGGTTTATACACCAAAGTAATACGTATAAGTTATACATGTTTATAAAGTCATGGGTGATTTTCTATCTATAAAGGTGGTTAACATTTGTTTTCCCCGAAATTACTTCTCCCAGAAATTCCGGAAAAGCTTGCTTATGCCTTCCAGATACACTAGAATAGCGACTCCCAAAATTCCCAGCTAAATTTGGGTAGGATTTCCGAAGACTGGAACCCCCATTCACCAGGAGGCCATTCCAGTTGGGGAACCTGTAGCACCCTCTTGTTGTTGTTTAGTCGTTAAGTCGTGTCCGACTCTTCGTGACCCCATGAACCATATTGCGCCAGGCCTTCCTGTCCTTCACTGCCTCCCTGAGTTTGCTCAGTTTCATGCTCATTGCTTCAGTGATGCTATCTAACCATCTCATCCTCTGCTGTCCTCTTCTCCTTTTGCCTTCAATCTTTCCCAGCATCAGGGTCTTCTCCAAAGAGATCTCTCTTCGCATTAGGTGACCAAAGTATCTGAGCTTGAGCTTCATTATCGATCCTTCCAATGAGCAATCAGGGTTGATTTCCTTTAAGATTGACTGGTTTGACCTCCTAGCAGTCCAGGGAACTCTTAAGAGTCTTCTCCGGCACCACAGTTCAAAGGCATCAATTCTTCGGCGCTCGGCCTTTTTTATGGTCCAGCTCTCACAGCCATACATTACGACTGGAAAAACCATAGCTTTGACTATGCGGATCTTTGTCGGCAAGGTGACGTCTAGTCTTCTCCAGCACCACAGTTCAAAGGCATCAATTCTTCGGCGCTCGGCCTTTTTTATGGTCCAGCTCTCACAGCCATACATTACTACTGGAAAAACCATAGCTTTGACTATGCGGATCTTTGTCGGCAAGGTGACGTCTCTGCTAAGCACCCTCTTACTGATGGTTAAACTATGTCACTTCCCTCCCTTGCTTAAGCATCTGAAAACAGAACAGGTGCAAATGCTTCCGACTCCAGAGCGGGAAAAAAAGCAAGCACTGGTCCACTTCTTGAGAACTTCCCTGATCCTCGGTAGTCTTCATTCTCCTGAGCTCCTCGGTCTATTGATGTCTCCACAATTAATTATCCTCCATAATTGAGACACACATAAAACCAAAACTGTGTCTCCATACATCTTCTGAACCAGCGTTTCCCAGCCTCGGCCACTTCAAGACGGGTGGACTTCAACCCCAGAATTCCCCAGCCAGCCAACCTCTGGGAGAGGCATCCTGTCCTGGGAGCCCGCGTGTCCCGTTCGTGGGAAAGTGATCTGCTCGGCGACGCGTCACGGTTCTTCAGCTCGCGCGTGCAGCTCACGGCGCCGCGCCCCAACGCCGTTCATTTAAGAGACCCGCCCGCCGGACTGAAAATCCAGCCAGCTGCGACCTGGGCAACAAGCCCGGCTTGCAACCCGATCCAGCGCAGCTGCCCGGCCAAGCGGCTCTCCCGCCCCCGCAGGCGGCTCACGAAGCGGACCCCGCACTCGGTTCAAATCACGCGCCGAAGGGCGGAGGCGGAGCCGAGAGC